GGTGACACACCTACCCCAACTTTCGGATATCGACTGTACCTAATAGTGGGCTGCTTTGAATAATGCGTCTAACGACGTTCTACAGGTTAGCATTTCAGATGAACTCAATGCGTCTGCGCGCTTAGCGTGCGAAAGTGAAGTGGTACTTATCATAACTGCGCAAATATTCATCATTAGTCTTGAATGCAGTTAGTGAAATGTAGTTGAGCGGTTGAATAGGTTCAGCTGCTATCAGCAGCGGTATGAGATGAAATGCCCCAACTACTCATCAAACGGTGCTTATCTTTCAGAAAATCCCCTCTTGGTTGAAGTTTGGCTATACTTTAGTACTGTTCTGTTTTTGAGTATCATGCTTAAAAATTTGGTAATAAATATTTTAGAGTCCCACGTTGTTGATATACTAGGTCGGAGGAGTCTTTGTTCATTCTCCAAATCTTTCGACTTTACTTGTCCTCCGTAGCACAGTAAATAGTCAACAAATATATGCGCTCCTATTATCGCCAGTATGTTCCCTTTCAGCAGATAACATGCGGATGTGGTTTGATTGGAGATACCGAGCTTTTAAGGCGAAGAGCTCGATTATTTTCTTCCAAGGTATGTCCGGATCAAAGGAATCCGGTTGTTTCGACAGCAGTAAGTGCTGGTAGTTTGTTGGCGCCAGGTCCGATGAACACAACAACATATGTAGCCAGGTCGTCCCATAAGGGGACCCGAGTTTTTTTTACTGGACCACCCTCTTAATTCATGGACGAGATGAAGGCAAACTTTTCCATGGTTTTCTTTAGCACAGAGTCCATACGTTCGCCTCTACTAATGTTCAGCAATAGCAGTGAAGTTCGTGTGCGAGAGCTCTCAGTGAATCACAACGTTTGCAACTTTACCAGCTCTGAAATTTTTCTCCCACGTCGAAGCTTTGGACTCGGCATCAGACTCCTTCCTTGTACGCGTTCAATCTAGTGGTGCTTCCGCATGTGGTTTATAAGAGGACCCATCTTCTTGCTGCAACTAACAATGTTGCCGGTCAAGCTAAGGGCAAGCGCTAAATCAAAATTTTAATGCAAATGTTTTCCTTCTTCTAACGATAAGATTGGTGGTCAGCATGATCACGGAATTTCCATTCGCCTTACTTTCACTTCTTTCTGAAGCGATATTGTGGAGATGCCGCTGGGCTGTGATAACACCAGAGCAGCTCTAAATGACTTCAGATACACCTTTCACTCACGATCAGTGTGACCAAGCTTGTCATTTCAGGTGACGAAGCTGATACTTCTAGACCAAGAAATTAAAGGAAGGAAGACCCAAGAAATTCGTTCTTGGCACGGTTCCTACTAGTTAGCCTGACGTCGGGGCTTTCCTTAATGGGCACGTTGGAGCTGCAAAGATTGGTGCTACTGTCATGATGGATTTGGCTGTGGGCCATGGGAAGCCAATGGGAAAGTGAATTCTCGAATGTGAAAATTTTACATCCTCACAGTCGTGGCACAAACTATTGCAAACGTCTCATTACTTTCCACAGTGGCAATACCAGAACGCAGATTTACATTGTCTTCAGCAGGCAGCGTGATTGAGGCCTGGTGACGGACACGATGACGGTTCTGTGCGAGAAATTCGCCACGCGACATCGACTTCTGATTTGCGCTCCGAAGATCGCCCTCCGAAGCTAAAGAGTGTCAGACGGGTGAGCTGGAAGGATCAGGGTGGCGACTGAAGGAGATGGAAGGTGCAATTATCGAAAGTGACGACTTTCGACGAAACTGCAGAAATGGTAGTCCGTCTTGCTCGCTCCCAACTTGCACTGAATTCTGGAGCCACTATCGCAAGATGAGGGCGCACCC